TTATTGTTTTGAATGAGCTAAGTCAGTTCACAAGGAAAGATCAACCTAAAAAGCATTTTAAACAAATGGACTCATAGACTAAGCTTAAAAGGAGCTTTAGAGTGGATCCACGCAACAACCTTATTTAAGAAAAGCACAGAGAGATGAGGTAGCCTGATCAAACTGGCACAGTTAGCAACTAGTAAAATTCCCAGATGGCCATAGCAGCTCCTGATAGCCTTCCAGGCTGAGTAGCTCATGTTGCACGTTGGATGAACAATACAAGGCAGAGAAAAGCTAAGGGAAAAGTCACTGGGAACATTACCCCAGTTTAATGCAGTAAGATCACAGAAACCTATAATAACACATTATAATTGCAAAATATGGAGTGAAATGCCAACAGTAAATTTTCCCATCCTAATTCCATAATTAATTAGCTTTCACTTAACTAAAAGGTAAAATATGTTTTTACTTTTTTTCCATATGTTTAAAATAAGGTCTTTTACTTTTTTTCCGTATGTTTAAAATAGGCCTTAATACCTGCCTTAAAGCCTTGTTGTGAACAGTATCTCTGCTGGAGTATTCTTGCCAAAATCCATAACCTCAGTCTAACCATGAGAAAACATCAGACAAACCCAAATTGAGAGACATTCTATAAAATAATTGACCAATTCTCTTAAAAAAGGCCAAGGTCATGAAAGACTGAGGAATTGCCATAGATTGGAGGAGACGTGACAACTAAATGCAATATGGGATCCCAGATTTCATCATAAACCAGGAGGAGACTAGTGGAAAAACTGGTGAAATTTGAAATTGTCCCAAGTTAATTTCTTGGCTTTGATAATTGTATTATATTGTGCAAGAAGAAGCTGCTTGGTGAAGGGTATACAGGAATACTCTGTACTAATTTTGCAATTTTGTGTATCTCAAATTATTTTACAATTAAAACAATGCTAAAAAAAAGAGAGCAATTTTTTAAAAAGCCTTGTTGTGAGAACTAAATACAAGATAAAAAATTTAATACATTGCCTATTTTTTTGCAGGCACAATTCCTTCATTGAATGGCTACATTTAGCAGCCATAAACAGTAGGAACAGTATGTTAATACTGGCCAAACCCAGGTTGGGGCGGCTAATAATGAAGTGTGTTGTCCAACTGTGATAAAAATGTGGACACTTTACACTGCACCTGAATGATTACAAATATTCTTGCAAAAGTCTTCTAATCGTCAATATTTCACTCTTTGCACAATACAATCATGAGTTAGTGCTTAAAGAAGTCTGGATTCTGTGTTTGGTCAATGATGACAGGCTTAAATTTACCTAACGCCATTATCGTTTAAACATAACATGTCAGATCTTCATTCCTCTGACTCTGTGACTACTCTCGTCTTGTCAGACCTCAGCGGTTTTCTGTGAGGTAACACCTGGCAAAATAAATCACTTTCATATAAATTGTAGACATCTCATAATGAGTATGCCTTGATACACTTTTATTTCTGTTTTCTCTCTAGTTTTTATTTTAAACTTGATTCTACATTTAGCCTTGAGGGGCAAAAGCCTGCTCTTGAGATAACTAAAGGTCCCCAATGCCAAGCTTATTACCCAAGATTTTGCTTTTTTAAGGAAACATGAAAACAACCTAGGAATTGCATTACTCTAGCAAAGTACTGCTGTGGCTCATACGCTTTTGCTTTTCACCTCAGGGAGTAACTGGTGCAGCCAAAACTAATAACAAGCAAATTGCTATTTGTTAGTTTTTGATAGAATCACTCATGTGATAAATATACATTTCTTTCCACCCCTGCAAAATAATTTTTGTTTTCTACAAAGGTTATGAGATATCATAAAAATGTCTAATGCATCTGGTTTAAGGATCCAATTCTTCCTTCACATATTTCTGCATCTGTTCACAAAATCTCTTTGACTTCAAAGGAAGCTTTTCAAGAGAAAAAGAAGATACATACAGGAAAAATGGCCATAAATTTTTAGTTTTCCAAAGCCATTTTAATAACTTTTCTAAGGCCATTTTAATAATAGCACTGTGGGAAAGTAAATATCTCTCTCAGAGAGCTACAATATCACAGATGATATAATGACTATACATTTATCTGAAGATTTATGTTTTAGAACTTTATTCTGGGTCTGAAAGTGATATGTCTTCAACTTAGAACATGTGAAAAATACAGCAAGCTTAAAGAAGAAAACTTAAATAACTTTTAATCCACTATTTAGGAAAACCAAAGAGAAACAAAAAATGTTAAGAATAGTTGTTTCCTTCCAGTCTTTTTTTCTCTTGTACATATAGTTATATAAATATTTATTTGCAAATATAATATTATAGTTACACTATGAATGCAATTTTATATCTTTTCTCAATTGGTCTTTCAAAAGACTGCACTAGTCTTTCAAACCATCATTTTTAATGACTGAAAATTATAGGGGGTGGGGGAGGGATAAATTAGGAGTTTGGGATTGCAGATACGAACTACTATATATAAAATAGATAAACAACAGGGTCCTATTGTGTAACACACGGCACTATACTCAATATTTTGCAATAATCTATAAGGGAAAAGAACATGAAAATAATATATATACATATATAACTGAATCACTTTGCTGTACACCAGAAACTAACACAACATTGTAAATCAACTATACTTCAATAAAAAAAAAATTTTAATTTATATGTAGAACTATGCTTTAAGAAGTGCTCTTGCTTACATTTAATTCGTATTCTACTCAAAGCTAAATTAAAGGTTTTGAAACACTAATCTGTTCTGGAAATTCTACAACTTGATACCATCTAGATTAACAGTTGATTAAGGTAACTGTATTCATAAATGCCACTGAAACAACAGTAGAGATTTAAGAATTCTATTCTTTAGCATTTATAATGATTTAATGCCCTAAACTTCCTAGGACAAGCATTAGTGGGCTGTAGTTTGTTTTTCTTTTCTTTTTGATTCTCTACTTCTTATGACATCCTCAACTCTTGAGTTTGTTACAAGAGGAAGTTTGGGTCTAAGACTTAGTTACTTTGTGTGTGGGGGGGACTCAAAACAGAGGGGATATATATATATATATATATATATACACACATAGAGTTGATTCACTTTGTTCTACAGCAGAAACTAACACAACATTGTAAAGCAATTATACTCCAATTAAAAAAAAATAAGGCTTCCCTGGTGTCGCAGTGGTAGAGAGTCCACCTGCTGATGCAGGGGACATGGGTTCGTGCCCCGGTCCGGGAGGATCCCACATGCCGCGGAGCGGCTAGGCCTGTGAACCATGGCTGCTGGGCCTGCGTGTCCGGAGCCTGTGCTCCACAACGGGAGAGGCCACAGCAGTGAGAGGCCCGCGTACCGCAAAAAAAAAAAAAAATAAAAAAATAAGACTTAGTTACTCTGAATCCACAGGTTCTAATATGCTACTATTAGCCATAAATATAATAACCAATTCTGGTTCTGTAGAATCCAACCTCAAACTTCAAAGAGAGGAGTATTTGATGTATTTATCTAATTTTGAATCAATTTTTACCTAACAATGCTGCCTGAAATTTCAAACAACATTTAAATAGTTGTTTTGACAAATAACTTTCCAGCGTAATATCCTCTATCCTTACAAGAATCTTGTGAGGCCCATATCAGTGAAGGACACTTAGGTACAGAAAGTTAAGTAATTTATGGGATGATTAAAATAACAAGTTGAACTTAAATCTTGTTTTTCATAATTAATCTCACTGCTTTACTTTGGCTTCACAATCATGGAGCCATAGATTTTCCAAAGCTTGAAGGAACACTGTCAATCAGTCCAACCCTTCCTCCACCCATTTTGCTAAAGAAAATAAGTCCAGCGAGATTAAATGACTTGTCATGCCACACAGCTAGCAAGTGGCAGACAAATCCCTTGACTTCTAGTTTCCTAACTTTCAGTCTAGTGCTCTAATACACCAGTTACCATACAAAATCCAGGAAATCACCTAATAGTCACAGAATCCCTAAGATCTCCCTAGTTCCCAAGAGCTATCTCCCAAGAGATGTATGGCAAAGTGCCTACCACTGAGATTGCACTTGCAAGACGTTTAGTAAATGTCTGGGTGAAGTAAAAATCTGAATAAGTGAAAGAGTGTATATATATATATATATATATATATATATATTTGTTTGTTTTGTTTGTTTTTCCCTTTTGCTATGAGGGTAAAATTCTAAATACTGACGGGACGGGTTAAAGGCCGTGTCCATGCTCTCAACACTACAGAGTAATGGTAACAGGAGTGCTGCCAGGACAGGACGACGCCTTTGGCAGCTTGCTGAAATTCTTTCATAGAACCTCCTAGATACAGGTCTACTTCGCGGTAATGAGGAGAAATCAGAGTGGAAGATGCACTGACACTTGCTCAAGTACCGCACTGCCTGAGGGAGGACGTCAAGAGGGTGCACCTACTTAAACGGGTCGATTCCTAACGAGACATCTTCTCTAATTTCTCCGCTGGACCCTTGGCTTGCTATTAGGGAAAGGAGAGTAAAAGCAGCAACGGGATCAAGACAAGGTGTGCAGTGCCGGAGGGACCGAACCTCTGGTATCGTATAACTTCACACACTGCTGGGCTCCCCGCGTTGCCGGGCAAGAGCGGAGGTGCGGCGCTCTCAGGGTGCTCAGAGGGGGAGGGGCTGAGACTAAGTGGGTAAGCGGCGGCGCGTTCCTCCCACCAGGGGCGCGTTACGTCACCGCGAATCCTTGCAACGTCGCCACGCTCCGAGTAGGAAGGCAGTCTTAGGCAAATCGACCTTAGGAGCCGAAGGGTTTGGTAGTCTCCAGAGGAAACGGGAAGGGAGAAGCAAACGGAGGGAGGAAAGAGGGATGAGAAGGACCTAGCGGGATGGGAAACTAGTGGAAGAAGGGCCAGCTTCGGTTACCTGGGGAGCGGGAGCAGCTTCGGGTCCTTGATGAAGTGCCCGGATGAAGTTCCAGCACTCACGCGCCTTCCGCATTGAGTGCAGCGCCATCTTGAGAAGGGCGGAGCCGTCTAGTCTTGAGTGACATCTGCTCAGAGAGGATGTCCCCGATTCGCAGCGTTTTTGCTTGTTGCGCATGCGCACTTGCCCTTGGGGCGGGCCTTTGTGCCAGTGCCTGGGGGCGTCCGGTCTTCGCAGAGCGGGTCGCGGGGTCAGGAACTGGGTGGGGCTTGGCTTTAGTATTTGCCCTGGAGACCTAATATTTGCGCAGGTTTCGTGAAGGGACAGTTTCCTACGAGGATATTAGTAGCAGTGTTTTTTAAACTGGAAGAAAGTCAAGTGAGTTGCCTTTCGTATCCTGGCCGTCCTGAGGCAAGCTTTTAAGAAGTTTCTCTAGGAGTGGGACCTCCCCAATCCTGTTAGAGGGCAGTAAGTGGTCTTTTGAGACCTATGTGGCCTCATTAATGCGTTCTATCTGCAAACGTTTGTTGAACCCTGCCATCTGCTAGGTACTGAAGGTGCAAAGAAAGATATCTTGCCTTCAAGTTGTGCACGGGCTAATGGGATAGCAGATAAATAAATGATGCACTGTCTGAGGTGTTAAAAGAAGCAAATGCCGAGATTGGGGAGGTGGGGTGGTTATGACTGTGGTGCTTCAGCCTGGTCCAAGGAAGCCTTCAGAAAGAAGATGACACTTGATAGAAGAAACTGTTCAGAGTTTTGCCTTAAATTATGAGAAGAGTTAACATGGTACTCCTACTTCTGTTAGTGCACCCAAAAATCTATCAGTAAAAATATAATTGGGAGAGATTCGTCAGAATTCCTTTATGTGTTTTGTTGTATTTATTCATTAGGAAGAGGTAGGAGATAAATGCAGTAAGGATGCTGTTACTCTTAATGGAATTGAAATCTAACAAGGTAAGACAAAACTTATCAATTTATCAATTAAAAACATACAGTAAAAATCTCTTAAGAGTGGCACATAGTACTGGTGAAGTTCAAGCATAAGTGATGTAATACAGAAATAAGCAGGGAAGGAATTGTAGGAATGAGGACAAAACTAAGGATAAAACTAAGGAAATCAAATGCCATTCTTCAACAAAACTAATCAGTTTGGTTTTGTCTCTTTTAAATTTGAGGTGCTTGTAGTACTTCCAAATATGACACTAATTAGATAAGTCTGGACCTCAGGAGAGAGGTCTGAGCTACAAAACAGATGGTAACTGAATCCAAGGAAATCTTTTGAGACTACAAGGTACAGTTTGTGGAATAAAAGTAGTCGGATGATGGAAATTGAAAGGAGTAGCCAAATAATGTTTAAAAGCCCCCAAAATGAGGTATTACTGAAATCCAGGAAAGAGACCCTGCCAGTGGAAGTGATGATTGATCTTTATAAAGATACAAGGTATCTCTTGTAAACATGCAGTTTTATAAATGCCTAAATGTTTTGCACTCATATATACAGCAAAGCATTAAAATACAGTTTTTTACAGATATATTAATTAGATTTGATGACCCTAGGAATTAGCAAGATTAGACTTCTGACATCCTCAGCCACCTGGATTATAAGATAAAGCCTAGCAATGATATGAGGGTTTTGACAGAAAGCTGTCACAGGGCCTGCGCACTTTATTTACTCAAGCAGTAAGTTTAGTCTTTTATCTCCGAAGACTCACATACATGACTGATAATATTTTCATGGGAGATATTTCCAAGACACTCCCATTGAAGAAGGTATATCAGGACAGCTGTGTGTAATCACTTCAATATCTATATTTTTTAAAGTAAGTTATTTTCACAGGGAACTACTGTATAGCATAGGGAACTATACTCAATATTTTTAAATAACCTATAAGGGAAAAAATCTGAAAAAGTGTGTATATATATATATATATATGTATAACACTGAATCACTTTGCTGCACACCTGGAACTAACACAACATTGTAAATCAACTGTACTTCAAAAAAAAAGTTATTTTCAAACTTAGAATAAATTGTGTTTCCCACCACAGTGGTGACCTGGTGACTCTTGAGTGTCACTCAGCCAGCATGATGATTTCTTTTGCGTTTCTTACATTTCCCTAGCACCTAGTATAGTACCTTGCACAAAGTAGGCACATCTTTTAAATCTAAATTTTATTTTGACAAAGTAAGCAATTAATTGACAGGTTGGTATGCTTTTAGCCAGAAGGGACAGCTGACAGCAGAAAAGACACTAGACCTATTAAAAGCAAGCTAGTTTTGTCTGCTTTTGCACTTTTTTACAACGGCGGTCTGAAACCTTTTGGTGTTGGCAAAAGTATCACGAAAAAGCTCACCATCATCTAAGCTCACCATCGTCTGCTCTTCTAAGAAGTGCAGTATATTCAGCATATTTTAATGAGCATTGTAAATGTTAATCCTGAATCTTCCGGAAAAGATGTTCTTCAGTGTACCTTTTAAAGAAAAAATTTGTAACTTTTGAGAAGTTTCCATATAAAATGGTTAACATTTTAAAGGTTTGTATAATGCAGGGTTAGTTTGATTACATGGGAAGTTCACTTATGGAAGTTGTCCAACATTGTCCAACATTGTTGTTTAAATGAAGCACCCCTGTATTTATTGGCAATATTTTACCATGGCTCTCATTTGGTAAGCCAAAGAGCTTTAGTAAAATGAGATATAAATGTTGTATTGAAAGCAGACTTTAGATACACTTAAAATTAAAACCTTTTATTTTCGTATACTTGTAGCATGCACTGTATGTCTACATATGTTCATGCTTAGAATTTTGAACACTTGTTTAAAATTTGATTTCTCATCAACAGTTTTATTTTATAGTAAGTTCTAGTAATTTTGCTCTTTCCTTAACATTCCCTGAAAATCCCATCTTACTTGAAACAATAGATTAAAACCAGACTGGCAGTTGGGGAACGCTTTCTATTGCAACCATGTGTGTCAGAAGAAAGGATTAGGTTTCCTTGACCAAGAACATCAAGGGGAACCTCCACCTCTGCAGACACACCTCTGTTCCTCAGTAATGGAGAGTTTATATCTAGTTAGATTTAAATGGGATAAGGAAAGAGTTTAAATCCTCTCTTAGCTCTGGTAGTATAATCAGCCCTCCAGTCTCAAAGTATCCAATTTTGTTTCTCTAATTTAATTCTAAGTGTCAGGTTGGTATTAGATGCTGATCAAGGTAATGGAGAGTCACCCTACACATTTATTCACTTAAAGAAGAATTTTGCAGAATGCAAAGACTAGATGGCATCTATGTTCAAAACTTACTTGAAGTACAATCCATTCACCTCTGACCTTTCATTTATATTGAATATGTTTTTCAAATACAGAGGGAGAGATTCCACAATGAAGGCAAACCTTTTGCTTCATAATCTGGGGTACAGCCACAGTTCTCTGGCCATACTGTCTTATGCTGGACTCATTGTGACCTAAATCAAACTGAGGCAGAGTCTCCCTTAGAGTGAGATAGTTTCCAAGAGTCACTAAAATACATGGGAAACAAAAATAATGATTTGAAGATTGTTCTTTTACACCTTTGGCGTAATTCTAGTTCTACCCCTCATTTTATATTTGATGAAACTGGTCCAGAGATATTAAGTACCTTAATGAAAAATCACACAACAAATAAGAGCAGGAATAGGAAGGACTTTGATCTCCAGATGAGTGCTCTCCTTTAAGTGACACCACGGTAAAGCTGAAGGAGCTAAGGCTGGGGCTGGTCCTAGCAAGGAGCAGTTTGACCTAAGGGCACATCCTTGTCATGCTTCAAAGTCAGAGCAACTAAATGGCTGAGTTTTAAAGGGTTGATGCTCTCATCTCTCCACCCCTAACATTAAAAGATGCTGTTTTTCCCTAGTAATTTTTGGGGAAGCGCAAATTGTAGCATCTTCTTTGTATGAGGGTAGTAATCAGGAGGCTGATCTGGTCTTTGGGAAGGCTGCTTAGGTGCTTGAAGGGTGGCATTACTATCACTTTTTTCCTGGAAGGTAAAAAAATAAAATCAAGGGAGAGGCTGGGTGATGTGGATAGCAAAGTAGAATTTTTCTCGGAGTACCTTTTTCTTAAAATTAAGGGCCAATGCCATAGTCTCTTCTAGATTCGCCTTCTTACCTTAAGGACTCTTTCCTACTCCACAACAATGAAGACATTTTGATCAGGGTTGGGAGAAGGTGGTGAGGATGGGGAGAGCCAGAGCAGACATAAGTGAATAATTTACAGTTATTGATCTTCAGACAACTGACTCCATTACTTGTAGAATCCTTCGTGTGCAGTACCAGGAAGAAGACTGATTATATGGGGGTGTTGCAGGCCCTGGGATTCCTGTTCATTTTTCATGTTTTCTCTCCATACTCTTTTTCAAACTGCTTTTCAACATTAGAATACAGATCTTCAAAGAAGACAGAGAATTGCTGCCTTATTTAAGTATGGATCTAGAATGGAGAGCATAATTTTGGAGGAATGTAAGAGGTTTTTTTCAATGTCCCCCATCCCCACTGTCCACCCGCAGTCTTAGGACATATGTTCCGTGGAGGAAATGGAGCTTAGCAATGAGCAAATTAAATTTTTGAAGGAACATCTTACTTTGTTATGTCTCTTTGCATGCCATATCTTTTCCAGGTGGTATGGCCCTAAAGACAAGATCCATATGTTATCTGCACACTCATGCTATTTTTAAATTACCACCCTTTGCTCTCAGCTACTTCAAAACTAGGGTGAGTAGGCTTCCCTCTTCTGGATTTATGTTTTACAAAAAGAACTATAGCAAGGTCTCCAAAAAGCTTCCTGGAGTGTCTTTAGATAAGCTCTTTTCTATTTTGTCTATGTAATCAAACTACATCAGATTCCTGCCCACTCTGTACCTGTCTGGTGTGATTCTAGGATCCTAGCTGTGACCACTGAAAGTCAGACATAATCCTTAGGTCTTGATCTTTCTAAAAACACCACCAAAAGATAGCTTAATCTCTCTAAAAACAGGGAGGGTGTTACCCTCACTGTCTCTGTCAAATCCCATCTCTAACCAGTTAGATTCTCTTGGACTTTCCAAAACTCAACTGACAGTTGCAATCAGTGATTTTTTTTTTCACTTTTTGTCCTTAATAAGTAGAAACGAGCATGAATTTGGAGAAAATTTGTATGGTGGTTCCATTACTGATCTCAGTGAACCGTTTCATCTTCATATGCCTCTTTTCCTTGTGTAAAATGAGTAAAAAGTAGGAGGGCTAAATGACATAAATTGTAACTCTTGTGATTCTAGAAACTAGTTTTTGTCCCAGAATCTAACTGTCCCAAATCAGACTCATTTAGACGTGTAGAGATGGGTATTAGAGTCAGGATCCATATTTCAAGCATACGCCCTGACCCATGTCCCTGGCAGATACTGACATACAGATACTGAGAACAGGCCTCACAATTTTTTCAAGACTGTGCCCCAGGCAGCCACTCTCAACCGATTAAAATTGGGCCTACTTGTCATCCTGGCACGGCAGGGTTAGGTTTACGAAAAACAGAGAATATGAACCTTTTCTCACCCAACTGTGAACATGAAGTGGCTTTTCGAAGATCACTTCTCAAAGGGTAGGTGGGAAGAGTATCTTGACCTGTTTTCATCCTCTGTAGCTACTTTAGGTAGCAATTTGCTTACCTCCCAACTACACTGCTTTTTGTTGTTTCTCAGAAATATACTCATTATTTTGTAATTGTCAATCACAATGATTTATAGGACAGTTGCTGATCCAAGAGTTTTAGGAAGGGTTACCTAACAGATGCTGTGATCTCTAGGAGAGGAATGTAGCCACTGTCCATCCACAGCTTGGCAGGTGTGGGGAATGGGAAGAGCCCTGCCTGTCTCTCCTCCCACACTCTGATCTTCTGACCTGTTGGTTCCTCTCATTTGCTGAACTCCAGGGCAAAGGAACAT